AGCAATGTAAGTAATCAATAGGGTTCCACTTGTAGGTTTCGTAGAAATAAAACAATTTTCTTCAATTAAAAATGTATAGATATACCGATTCGTGTCTCTCATCTGATATAGTTACAACCCGATACAATTAATTAAGATGGAAATATATAAAAAATATATTTTTTCTAGAACAATGCAAAAGTGAAAGTAAAAAAAATCTTAGATCTCTTTTATGTATGGAAAAGTAGGTAAATTGTACTACCTATCTATGCTTATACGGAACCATATAACACTTAGGTAACGTACTAACTTGCCCGCCTCGTAACCTTGAACAATATCTGGTATTATACTTGTAAAGTCATTCGACTCACAGTGTCATCACAAAAATAATGTTATCGTGAGTGCTAGTGCGTTAACTGCAACAACAGAAAAATAAGTGTTATGTTTTTATAATAAACAAGTAGGTATAGTTAACAAAATTTTTAATAAACTGTAAAATAATTATCCTACCTATATGTATAATGAAGATGTAAGTACATAGTGCTAATTTACTAAATGTGACCATTTCTATGTAGAAGTTTGATGTAGGTATTTGCATATGTAAGCGCGTTTAAGTTGTGTTTATTAAAATTAGAACCTAATTAATACGTAGATAATGATTGTTCAATATTATTGTTAGTCATGACTATGCCTCTTTGCTTTTCTCGATTAATAAAGTACACCAATCAATCAGATATGTACGGACTTACGGAGTTACTAAGTGAACATTCGAATATCAGATTTTATTCGATTTGTTTTTCACTAATTTTGCTGTCACCGCAGTTGACTCGGTTAACTTAGTTTAGTTTATATGTAAATTTGAGTAGTGAACGTAGCTGGTATGTAGTTATTAGTTCTTTTGTTGTCAAATATATCAAGTAGCGACTATCGAGAAGATAATAATAATACTTCACATATAGCTGTTCAAACAGTCTTGTTATCAATTTACACAGTGCATTGTACCTATCTCTTAATTCAATAATGCAATCCACACCGATTGTTACTCTTGAATAGATTTTTTATCATTATTACTTACTTTGGATGTGGTATTCATCGTTACAATCATAAAAGGGATTACATGCTAAAGTCTATTCAGATAAAGTTAAGCATGGGCAAAATACCTACTTAGAATAACTTATACTCGCTAATAAAATGAAAAATATGATAAGCTATCTTAATGTGAACAGAAAGATATTATATGAAAGATGGCATAAGATCTTTTTTTATAATAATAATAATAATAATAATATATTTATTTCTGCATAAATATGGAAAGTACAAGATGTTACAATTTATTTTCTAGTTAACAGACATATTTACCAGAAACTGGCATGCAGAAGAAATTATAACAATTAGGGAATTACAATAATAATCATAAAATTAAACAAATGTCAATTAAATTTCATCAATATAACGCAATAATAGTAGTTTAATAATTCATAATTTTGAGATAATATGTCAACATTTATATTCAAAATATTCCTTTAAGCTATAAAAACATTTCGCCGTAAGCCATTCTTTTAACTCAGACTTGAATATACTAAGCCTGTCGTTTTTAGATTTTATTGGCAGCTTATTAAAAATTTTGATTGCCATAGGATAAGTACTTTTTTGCCACATTTCCGTTTTTATCAAAGGTAGCTGCAATTTGTTTGGATATCTAGTGGTAAACTTACGAGGAATATCATCATAACGTTCAAAAAAGTGCGGATTATTCCTAACGAAAACACATATTTCATAAATGTATAAGCAAGGGACCGTTAGTATTTTTAAGATTTTAAAAAGTGGTCTACAAGATACTATTTTTTTTACGTCACATATGGCTCGAATGCATGATTTTTGTGCAATTAATGCTTTATTTATATTACAAGAATTTCCCCATATTATAATACCGTATCTCAATATTGAGTCTACGTGTCCATAGTAAGCCATAAGAGCAGTTTCTTTGTTTGAAATCTTAGCAAGCTTCCACAAGGCATATGTGAAAGGATTTATTTTTTTACATATTTTGTCTATATGGTCTTTCCAAGTCAAATGTTTATCTATAATTAAACCTAAAAATTTTACACTATTTTTTTCCTCCACCATTTGGTTGTCATATGATATTTTAATATCTTTTTTTTTACCATTTCTATTAACAAATTGTATATATTCTGTTTTAGATAAATTCACTTTGAGATTATTTTCTTTTAGCCAAGTTACTAAAGCTTCTAGTGTTTTATTTACTTCTATATTATAGTCATTATTTTTATTATTTGGTATAGCAACAGATACGTCATCGGCAAATAATATGCATGGGTAATTTGTCACATTTGGGAGATCGTTAATGTACAATAAAAATAGCAATGGCCCAAGTATACTGCCTTGTGGCACTCCAGACACAATTTCTTTTTTATTAGACTTATAGTAAACTTCAGTTTTATTTTGATCTAGGCTACATATTTCTACATATTGTGTTCTGTTTCTTAAGTATGATTCAATCCACTTATTTGCTACACCTCTTATACCGTAAATGTCACATTTGTTCAACAATAATTCATGTGAAACTCGATCAAAAGCTTTGCTCATATCAAAGAATATTGTGGTTATCGGGATGGACTTATTTGTGTATTCTAATGTATGTTTTATTAATGAGAATATTGCTAAGCTAGTGGATTTCCTCTTTTGAAATCCATTTTGCTCGCTTTTTATTATATTGTGTTTGTTTATAAAATTTGCTATTCGTATATACATGGCTTTTTCTATTATTTTAGACCAGATACTTAAAAGTGCAATAGGTCTGTAATTATCTAAATTTGTAGGGTCGCCTTTTTTAAAAATTGGTTTTACTACAGTTGTCTTTAATATTTGTGGGAATTTGCCTGACATGAATGATAAATTTATTAAATAGCATAATATCTCTGCTATTTCATCATTTACTTTTTTAATTATTTTGGTTGAAATGTCATCATATCCGGTTGAATTTGTCAATTTGAGAGAATTTATGATTTTTTTTGTTTCGTATATGTCAACTGGTACTAGAAATATGCTAAAGTTATTTGGTTTCATATTTTTATTATTCGTGATTGTAATTTTATTGTCATTTAAATTTGTCAGATTTACAAAGTGATTATTGAAACAATTTGCAATGTCAATTTGATCATAAATGATTTCATTTTTATAATTTATTTGTTTTATGTCTGTTTTTCGATTTATTAGTCCATTTTTATTGTTTATTAAATTCCATGAAGCTTTAGTTTTATTTTTTGAAATTGAAATATATCTCTCGTTTGTTATTTTTTGAGCCTGATGTATAATTTTTTTTAGAAGTTTATTGTAACGTAGATAGCTAATCTTATTGTTGTTGTTTGGTTGCTTATAGAATTTAAATCTTAGTGCTCTTTTCCTAATTGTCGCCTTTCTTATACCTACTGTTATCCAACTCGGCTTTTTTTGCATTGTATTATTTATTTTTCGAATACTAGGGAAGCATAAATCATATAATAGTTTAAAATTTTCATGAAATATATTAAATGCATTATCTAAATTTTTTTCTTCGTATACTTCAGACCATTTTAATGATTGCATACATTCTTTAAACTTGTCAATGTTTTCGCTGCTTAAATCTCGTCTAAGTTGAAACCAGATTTCAGGTTGTTGTTCTCTATGGACCACGTTGAATGTAATTGATTGTGCTGTGTCATGATCAGATAAACCCAAGTTATGTATATATCCCGTGGCTTCAGGTATATTACTGATTATTTGATCTAAACAGGCATTTTTTCTTGTAGGCTCTTTAATATGTAGTTTTAAGTTAAAATTTGATACAAGCTTAAATAGTTCGTATGATTGATTTGAATCTTTTAATGTATTTATGTTTAAGTCGCCAGCAATAATTATTTTATATTTAGTTTTATATCGGAGCTTACACAGCAAATCTTCTAAATTATTAAAAAATGTTTCTGGCTTAGAGGTTGGTGTGCGATATATACAAATTATTATGCATTTGTAGGAAACCAGTTCTATTCCACAGCATTCAAATACGTAGTTTGCGGAGATTTTTTCAAATATATTTAATTCCTTGGTTGCAATTTTAAAATCTTTTTTAAAATCTTGCTAATTCATTACCATTCTAATCTATTGATTTTTCTCACGGCCTCAAGCTCAATACCTACTATGATAATTTATATAAAAATACCAGACAAAAAAAAACAAAAAGATAAATATGTACGTATACGATAAAACATAGACTACATTCTCTCTGTAGAATACCTATTTACTAACAGTACATAACTGCTATAATGTATTACATAACTGCTATAAAAAATTGATGAAAATATGTCAAACTTTAGAGGCAAAAGTATTTCAAGGAGCCTAGAACGAATATTTTCAAATAAAAATGTATGACACGAAAACATGTTAAAATATCACGTTTAATTTTTACCTTTAATACATACTTAGTTTTATTAATTCTTTTATTTCCTCGCAGAAAGCATTGAAAAATGTTGTAAGAAACTTGAGCGTAAAAGGTTTTTAGAATTCGTGCCAACGAAAACCCTCGCTACGCTAGTGTTTTCAATTTGGCCAAACCAAAATTTGGTAAAACCTTACTTTCCGCACTCGTATCGTAGATAACTATTTCCTATAAGTAATATGAAAAACTGCTTTCTCGCAAATTTTTATCTTAAATTAAGAAGCTACTTTAATGTAGATAAAATTATATTTTTAATTAATTTCAACATTACAATACAAACAGAAAATAAATAATTTAAATATAATAAAACTCGACTGCTTAGAAGAATTTAAAAAAGTAAGTTTTTTCAGATTGTACGCTTAGCTTATAAAGTGTTCTATATAGAATGGTTTTACTCCACAAAAACATTTTATTTTTAACCGACTTCAAAATCGAAAAGGAGGAGGTTTTATGTTCGACGGCAATGTATGTTTTTATGTATGTTCATCGATATTCCGCCAATTGTCCAAAACTGCGCTAAGAAATAGCGATAGGTATGTCAACTGAATAAGCTTTAATTATGATGTTAATAGTGATTAAAATCAGACGAAACCTTGTAGTAATAGTCGCATTTTGTTGCAGGGTGTGCAGATTGTAGATAAATTGTAAACATGGTAAAAATACACAATAAAGTTGTTTACGGGGGTCCAGCTTTATCTATACCCGGACACCTTAACTTCGGCCAGTTCGTGTTGGACGAATTAAGAAAAATTTGTGAGACCAAAGCAGATTGTGTGGCACTGGTTGGTATTAAAATGAAATTAAACATTTAAGAAAATTACTAACATTAACCGTGCGTCATCCATAATTTTTGAGTTAACATTTGAAATTTTCGTGCATTTTTTTAGGCATCATATGCAGATAAAAGAAATACGAATATAAGTAATTAGCCTACGTCTCCATTTTGCTATATATTTATTTTTTAATTTTCATCATAAGATACTTTACTACCTACTGTAACTGTTACGGACGGCGGACATGAAGACCCTTCCCCGCAACCTCACCCCCGCAACGAGTGGAGGGGGCACACCACGGGCAGCAGCGACGGGAGCACCCCCCGCGACCTCCCCGCCGCATAGTGGAAGGGGCACCGACATAACATGAATCTATTAGGTCAATTAACGCGTTAGGATAGTAGCTAAGTGCGAACGAACAAATCCCACTTAAGTAAACCCGATTTGTATGAAAGCATGCCTACGAACGTTTTCGTACTTTGTACTGCAAATAAGAAGAAAGAATAAACGCCTTCAAATCTCCAAACTGTTGTTTCCATCCCCAACAGTAACTATAATTTTAATACTACATAGATAGTATATGCTTATTTTCATAACCTTGTTTCACTGATTGTGAACTGAATAATCTATATATATATTTGATCAATTTTCATTCACAATGCTATACTGGAAAATATTCTCAATGAAAAATGTTTAAGAAAATCCTTATACTCTGACATGGGACTCGAACCCACGACCTTTCCCAAACCGGGCGACTGCTCTAACCATTGAGCTATCCAGGACCTATCAGGACATAGTTTGATTGAGAAACAGCATAAAACGTCCTGCCACTTGGTGGGGAGCGGTGAGGAAAAAAAAACAGGACTGACATAAATTACATAATTAAGTTTACGTTTTCATTAAAATAATATGATATATTTAATTCACAGATTAATGGCGAAACTGGGGAAAAGACTACGTATAAAATATTACTGCAAGGTTTAGTGAATATCGGGTCTGGTTTAAGGAAGTTAGGAGTGAAACGTGGCGACGTGGTCGCGCTGTGCAGCGAGAATCGTGTGGAGTACCTCGCTGCTGCGCTTGGTGCTCTCACCTGCGGTGCCTGTATTACACCACTCAACGCGCAATACACCAAAGGTATACTATCTTTATTGTTAGATTGTAGACAAACCGAAAATAACATCATAGAACCAGAAAATGCGATATTATTATTTTCGTCGGCAAAATCGTAATACTTCCTTCCTTCCTTCTTATTTTGCCGTATTTGAGTATAGACCGTCAATCAAATATCCTTAATTTGTGTTCGGTGCCAAATTAATATCCTTAATTTGGCACCGAACACAAATTAAGGATAAGGATTAAGAGGAAGGGATATCGATGGGGAAGTTAATCAAATGCGTACAAGTTCCAGTTATAGGATAGGTTGCAAAACTTTATTATCTCCAGATCCTTTGTAATTTGGAAGGCACGTTTAGCCGAGGGCCCAATGGGGCTTGATGGATAATGACTGCAGATGCAGCTGCTTAACGTACCTTCTGAAGCATGGAAAGCTCGAGAATATAAATTTTTGGTTACCCATCCTATAACTGGCCATTACGAAAGTTCAACCATATCGCAGACTGAGCGCGGTAATCACTGTGTCATCGAGCTCCTTTAAGTAGATATGAAGAATAATAATTATGTAATTTTTTTGTTTCAGATGAGATGACACATGTGTTAAATATTTCGAAACCAAACTTAGTGCTTTGCTCTGCAGCAGCAATTCAAGCTAATTATGCCACATTTAAAACATTGCCATTCATCAAAACTATCATACAAATTAATGGTGTGCCGATAGAAAGAAACGTTTTATCATACAAAGATATAGCTGTACAAACTGACGTACAAGACTATGAAGCTGAGGATGTGCAGGGCTCTACTGACATCTGCTACTTACTGTATTCATCTGGGACCACAGGATTGCCAAAAGGAGTGATGCTGTCGCATGTAAATGTTCTTTACTCATTGGCTTATTTCAAGTAAGACTCGATTGTATGTTACATAAGGTTAAAATGAACTTAATTAAGGTCACACCATCCATACACAGTTTTTGAAAACGCTAGGATGAAATTCCTTTTCAAAATTTAGTTCAATACAATAAAAAAAAATTAGTAAAAGTCAACGAAAATAGGTTTTGCTGTAGTATTTTTAATACGCTTACTTATAGAATTTCACTTTACCTTGGGCTTGGGCGATAAACAAAGCCAAGTAACAAATGTATTCCTGACCACCATGCTGTTGCTTGTTGTACCTAGCTTCCCGAAAATTGATCCGCGCACCAATAATAAAGCATATAGCATATAGTTCCCTTTATTCTAAAATAAATTTAGAATAAAGGGGCTCTAGATTTTTCAAAACTAAATAAAACAATTGAATTAAATTAAAACAGTACCTATTATGTTTTTGCAGTGAGAGAGAAGATCTTATTGAAGATATAACTTTGTTGACCGTAGTGCCTTGGTATCATGCATACGGCTTGATGTCAACCGTTAATTACATACTAGTAAAGAAGAAATTAGTCTATTTACCGGGGTTCAACCCTCGCGTATATCTGAATGCCATTCAAGAACACAAGGTATGTTGTTATATTGGAACTTCTATTTTGAATTGTTAGTAGGTACTTATCTTCTTAACTACTTACAAACTTTATTTTACTGGCGAGTAACACTGTTGTTACTTAGAAAAATAGAATAGTATATGTACTGCCGAAGCAAGTACTGAGAAATAGAATATGTACCTAATATTTTTAAAGCGTTACAATAAACGGCATATAGCTTTACTTAGTGCTCAATAAAATTAATATACAATATGACTATAAATAACCTGCAGAGCGACTGCGTAACTCTCTTGCTGTAATTGTAACCAAAGCAATAAAAACTTTTTGTCAATTAATACATATTATTCTTTTAATGCAATATGTTATAATTTTTTTAAGCACCAATTCGCAACAAAATTTAAATCATAAATTTCAGTTTTCGAAATAGTTTTGTTTTTTGAATTGGACTTTTTAAGTTTATTTTAATTTACTTAATATGATTCAGAAAACTTCAACAACTAAAACTATTGGTTAATATTTGAATTATATAAGAGACTAGCTGTAACCCGCGGCTTCGCCCACATTCGCCCACACTTCGCCCCTTCACACACCAATAAACTCTACAATTTCAGTTTCTGAAATTGTAGAGTTTATTGGTATAAATTATAAACATATTCTTTTTAGAAAATCAATAAAACCTTTTATGACTATTTCTAGAGTTATGCGGTCGTTTTCCTGGGGCTTAAATACATTGTGAGAAAGAAAACCTACTAAATGAGTCTTATATTCACCCGAAAACCCCTTTTGAAAAAAAACCATGAGTATTAAAAGTGCTAATAGAAATACAAAATTATGGTATCAATAAATAATTTATTTTGGCAGGTAAATGTGTTAGTTGCCGTACCACCCATAGTGGTATTTTTAGGAAAGTCTCCACTTGCTAAACAGTATGATCTGTCTTCGGTCTTTGCAGTCTGGTGTGGTGCTGCACCTCTGACTTCCGACACTATTAATGATGCTTTAAAAAGGTTTGTTAAAAATGAGTTTTTATCAAATTTCATTTACAAACTGGCACTGGTAGGGGTGAGTAGCATTTGCAATGCGTTTACGATATTTCGTAACTAATACTTCGTAAAATATAACGATAAATATTTCATAGTAGCAGTAGCAAAATGGTCCTTACGACTTTGTAATTTGACTACGGCTTAGTATAGTTTTAATAGAATATTAAATTACAGCAATGTTTTGTTTATTTTCATACCGGTAACAAATAAGAGTTATAGTGAGTACTAAAATGTTTATATACACCTTTTTCTTCTTTAACTGCGCTGTTAGTTAATTCGAAAACTAATTAGAAATACCGGACAAGCGTAAGTCAGACTCCCACATGAAGGGTATCGAACGAGAAACGAACAAATAAATCACGTTTGTTGTATGGAAGTCCCACTTAAATATTTGTTTAATATTAATTTTATTATTTATGTTTAAAGTTACTACATAAATACATATTATTCTGTCAATATTTCAGGCGTCAACCTGTTGTTATCATTAATATCAAGCAAAAAATAATAATTTAAAGAAAAACAAATAACCCGACTACGTAAAAACGAATTTAAAAAAATGCATGAAAAAATAAACTTAAATAAAAAGTAAAAAGAAAGAAACAAGCCCAGCACGTAGTTTAGAATTCTGTTAAGTAATAATAAATAACTACACAATTGAAATAGTTTTATACACACAAAACAAATCATAAATTCTAATGCAGAACAAAACAACTCACAGTCGGGTCCTATTCAAATTTTACCAATCAAATCTCCCTAAAAAAATACATACATATGTACCTACATACATACATACATAGACTGATAAACACATTACCCTCCTTTGCGTCACGCAGTCGGGTATCAAGCAAAAAAAATCACGTTTGTAGTTGTAGTTTTTAGTATTTATTGTTGAAGCGGCAACAGAAATACATCATCTTGGAAAACTTCAACCGTCTAACTTTTACGGTTCATGAGACATAGCCTGACTGCGAAGTCTTAGTAATAGGCTTCCCATTATTGCCTTTGGATACGGAACCCTGACAAAGGGAGAAAAAAATCATGAATATGATTGAAGTACACGAATACACAAACATTCTTAGTGCGCTGATTGAAAGTTTTTCCTATACATCTTACATCGTATATAATTTTAACGAATTCAGATATTTTGCTACAGTTGCTGTGATTCACTATGATAATTGTTTTTTCAAAGCCATATTTTTCTTCTTAAATACACGACAAATAGCCTACACGCTATCTGCTTGAAGTTTCATACTGATTGCAGATGAACATGCAGCAAAAAAAAGAATGTTATAGACCTTTATCAAAACAAGCAAAATTGTTTTCAGTCTACCGAACTGTATGGGAGTGTTCCAGGGATACGGTATGACAGAAACATCATTAGCTGCTACAACAGATGCAGATATAGAAAAAAGTAAACCCGGTAGCGCCGGCTACCCCTTAAAGGGTGTGAAAGTGAAGGTATGATCACAAACACTTATATCAAACACACAGGTGCTTTATTATACTTTTAACTTTAAATGGCGGGTATGCTGCTGCTTTTGAAAACTATTATTACGCAGTTGAGATTAAAGTCGCTATCTGTACCCTGAGATCTTGTAAACTATACAACGGAGTTTTAATGTCGTTTAAATGTCGTGTCGGAAAGTCTTTACGTATAATATAGGAGCACACGGGCAAAGCAGTAAGCTAGTTACCTTATTAAAATAAGTTTATATAGATACAACATACAATTACATATAATAAAAAGCTCCATATTGCTCTCATTTTAGGTTGTGGATTTAGAAACACGTAAAAGGTTGGGCTGCAATGAAACAGGTGAAGTATGCTTGAAAGGTCCGATCAATATGAAAGGATACGCTGGCAACGATGCTGCCACACGCGAAATGTTCGATGATGAAGGCTACCTGAAGAGCGGCGACATTGGATACTATGACAACGACGGCTGCTTCTTTGTAGTCGACAGACTCAAGGAACTCATCAAATACAAAGGGAGTCAGGTAACTTTCATGTAAATTAAATTGTAAAAAAACTGTCACTGAAATGTGATGACAGAAATAGAAACCAATTTTTTTTAACTAAGGAAAAAGAGAATCGAATGTAGTATGGATAACAAAAATAAATTACACAACACGCGCAGGTTTTCCAAGGCGCTCCATGGCGTAGTGATTATAGTGCGTTCGGTCTGTGATGCTAGGGCCTCTTATTGGATGGGTGACGAAAAAGGCACCTAAGCCTTTGGTCCCACCTGCATTTGCAATTGTTAACGGATGGGACGACAGGTAGTGTGTGGGACTCTCCCCCGCTGAGGACTCCCTACCCACTAAAAAACCCTGGACTTGCCCTCCATTGGGAATGCTACCCGGTAACACCCGGAAGCATAATCGCCGGGTGCCACTCCCGATGAGGGGATCTGCCTAAGTAAGAAAGGTTCTGGGTATGGTGGAGCTCCAGTTGTTTCAGGCTGTGCAATACGTGGACGGTTATCAGCTGCCTTCATCAGTTCCAGTAGTCCAAATATCCCCCCAGGCCAGCCTCATAAGTAAGACTTATGCCCTAGCTGTAGGGAGGTTAAGAGGCTAGTGACAGAGGCGGATTTGCAATCTAGGTCGCCCTAGGCGATGTAATACTAGCCGCCCCTATTTTAGCTGATGATGTATACACAATCATTTGGAAAAGAAAATGAACAACAAATACTTAGATAACAATTGTTGATCGCAGTACCTATATGAGTGACAAAATATATATTAGGTGCCGCCCGCTGAAGTGGAGAGCGTGGTACTCGAGCACCCTGGCGTGGCGGAGTGCGCGGTGGTGGGCGCGCCCGACGACGCCGCGGGGGAGCTTCCCACCGCGTTTGTAGTCTCCAAACAAAACGTTCACCTCACGCAAAAGGATATCATAGACTTTGCGGCACAACGGGTATGTATTTTATTATAACAACTACCTAGGCTGTGTAGCCGATATCTCTTTTCTGTGTCGAATTGATTTCAGAAATAAATATATAGTAAAAGTGTATTATGATTTCTTTTATATGAAACAGAAGCCAAAAGTCTAAACACATACAAAAAAAAATTATGAAAGTAAAAACTTGTGAAAGTGTTCTGTTATTTATATGCACGTTTGCATGCCGTATCATTAAGGCAAAATTTACTATTGATTTTATATTATAAGCACCGGATAATTAACTTATAGACGATTTGTGTCTTGTTGGTTGTCCTAATTAAATAAATAAATAAACTTAAAAACTACATATGCTACCGCTTATAAAATTGTATTGAGATCGCGGAAACTCTGTAAATCTTATTTACCAATATACCAAGTCTCTGGTAAAGATCAAGTAGTCCTCTAATTTTTAATTAACTTGACATCATCATCATCATCATCATCAGCCCTTTTACGTCCCCACTGCAGGAGCTCAGGCCTTCCTTATGGATGGTTAAAGAGGATGGGCCATGACCCTCCACGCTGGCCCTATGCGGATTGGAGGGTATTAATGACTGCTAATGCAGCCGGGACCAACGGCTTAACGTGCCTTCCGAAGCACGGAGTAGCTCGAGATAATAATTTTTTGTCACCCATCCCGTGACTGACCCTATCGAAAGTTGCTTAAGGACAACAATCGCGGGTCGCGGCACTTATCCAATACGCCACCGAGCTACTCTACTCCGAGCTACTCTACTACTTGACATCATAATAATAAAATAAAAACAAAAATTTAAATCGACGTCTTAATTTTTTACTGCAAAATAAAATAATTTAGCAACGTTACCAAATAAGTATTTCTATTTTCTTCAATAGGCACATAAAATATGTAAACTTACCTAATCTATTGTAATGATAGATATATAGGTTTAATGTATAGTTCCAAAGGATCACCGCTGTCTTGATTATTGTGTTACTATCTAATAAATAGATAAATAGTTCTTCAATAACACTAATCTTAAAACGAGTAATATTGCTAATTTCGATATTATTTATTATAATGACGAGTAAATAGCATAGATAAACGTAATATCAATTGTAAAACAAATTGAAATTATACCTATGTTTGGTCATAACATATTCGGTGATTATAGATGGACTGTGATAAATAAAATCTGAATAGTTGTCAAAAGTAGTAGATAGTAGATCTTGGACAGAATATTAACATTATTAACGAAAATAAACAACATGTGTGACTACAATCAATGATTGTCTGATTATCAAAATACTTTTGATCGGCAATAATTAAAACTTTAATTCATATTTATTTTTTAGTTTAACAATTAATAAATGTTCTCCTTCTTTATTGTAAAACATATTAATAGGAATAATATATCATTTAATTAATCCAATATTCTTTTTATTTCTGTCGTAATCAAAAAATAACACTTTGTCAAAATAATTTTGAGCGCCACTATGTCTCGTTCTTCGCCCGTTTTTGTGGCGAATAGACAAGCACTAAAATGAAGATAAATCCAGCTTGAGGAAATAGTCCATACCAAGAGTCCCGAGACTGCGCGTCTAATAAACGCAGGCAAAGAGTTTCACAGTATAATAGCTCTGTCGAAAAATGACTTCGCTACAAAATCGGTCCAGTGGGATGGGATAACTAAGGAAAGGTTATGGGAAGACCGTAGATCTCGGATAGGATTAAAGGAGGAAAAGACGAAGCGTTTTTAAAAAGAAAGAGGAGTATGTGTATGAAAGAGAATGGAATAAAGAAGTGATAGGAAGTGACTCTTTTATGAGAAATAGGTGACCATTGAAGTTGAGAACAGTAGTTGGAGTTAATATCGTATTTATGTAGATCGAAGTTAATACGAATAAATAAGTTCTGGAGACGCTCAAGTTTTTTTAGGAAAACGACACTTAGGTCGGAGTAACATGCATCAGCATAATCAAGCAGTTTGGCTTAATTTCTTTGTTTAAAGTCAATTATTATCTAAATAATATAGATATTATTATACTGTCAATGACTGATATATTTAAGACTATTTGTTTCCCCACGACTAGTTCTAGTTCAGTATTACCGAAGATTACCTCCTACAAAACAAACAAAGTTAGAAACTTTATCTCTATAGTTATACTGTTAGTATGAATATCTGTAATTGAAAGGTAGTTATTCCTGCCTTTTATATGGAACAGTCAAAATTATGTGAACATTACCATTTAATATACGTTTATTTTGTTTTCAGCTATCTTCAGCTAAGCGTCTCCATGGTGGTGTGATTTTCATAGATGCAATTCCAAAAAATCCGTCTGGGAAGATTTTACGTCGTGTTCTCAGGCAACAATTGAAACAATATCGAAAAAGCAAATTATAAAGAAAACTGGGAAACATTAATTCTACTTATTGTTATTAATTGATTTATTTACTGGTATCAAAAGCAGAGCCAATTGAAGCCAATTTTGTTGTACACATATTCCCTACCGCAACATGAAATTTCAAATATCGATTTGGGTACTTACATGCTTTAACGTTATTATTTATTTGTTACATGTAATCTAAGAAATATGATTATACAGCTTTAATACTATAATGTACTTTTATTATTAGTTTCCTACGGAATTAATAATACAATTATATCTACATGTTTCTTATGTTTTAAAAAAAAATATCCGTGTGACGAAATCTGTAAAGGATCCGAAACGCCTGAAATTGTTTAGAATTTCTCAAAAATACATGCGATAAACCCGTTTAAATGTAGTTTTATTAATTGAAAATACAGTTTGATAGGAGAGAAGCTCGATGGCGCAGTGGTTAACGCGCTCTCGGTCTGCGGCACGGTTGTTATGCAACTTTCGTAATGGTCAGTCATAGGATGAATGTGTAAACGATATGAATTGATTCCAACCATAGGACAAGGCCTGAGCCACAGCAGTTGGGATATTAATAAGCTGGTGGTAATGGCATTCTGATAGGATTGCCAAGCCCGACACAACCAGCAAAAAATGGTTTTTAAACTGTCCTAGAACCATGATTTCTTGAGGATTATATGAGTATTATATCTGCATATAACCCCGGAAAGGCACCCACTTTATAACTCTACCCTTGCTTACAGCGCGATTATATCAGGCCGCAGCTATCCCACTTTTGATTAAATGGCTCCTATATAGTGAATACGCAAGTGTACTTTTACCTGAAAATGTTAATGTAAATCCACTATAGTAAAAGGTGAGACTAACTCGGGCCTAGCTATGCCTCTACTAAGTATGCACCTAGTGTTTCAGTGAATTGTCAAATTGTTATGGGAAAATTAAAAAGTTTGAGCAAAGAAAAACATATCCTATTGTTCTTAGTATTTGTGTTGTCTGTTTGCTGGGGAATGTGAATTTTCTGTAAACCTTATCTTGGTTTCGATAAAAATTTTAAAGCGCCTCGTAAAGATGGTTTATTAACACTTTTTGTATTCATTTATTAATCAACAAATGTTAGGAAAAGTCGTTATATTTTGGGTGACCTTTTCCTAGTAAGATATAGGATTGATAAAAATTAATTTAGTTCTACAATGGTAAGTGCCAACACCAAAGCAAATTCGCCATGTTGTTACCAATTAGGGTTCTACAATTATTACTGTCTCATCAGGGGGCTCACACTGGTAATCGTAGATTCTGTTATGATAAATATTTAGTAACAATCGTGATTTTAATGGCTGATCGCAAAGCCTATAGTAAGAAATGGGAAACAACCACACATCGTGTTTTCGACTATATCGGTTGTTTCCAGAAAAAGGCTTTTAAAGAGTTCTAGCCAGGATTGTTTGAAGATTTCTTAGATTATATGAATACTATGAAGGCACTATATAGGCACTACTATGAAATACCCATATAAATCTACCTAGGCTTATATCGGCATACGACAAACCCCTATAAAGTGCATTTTTGCCTAGCGCAAATGAGCTTAAAGCGTTGTCTTATATGCGCATAAAAGCTGAGTTATCGGAGTACTTCCTCTTGAGAGTAATTACCCTTAATACATGCATGGTAATTACCCTAATAATAATAGGAGGTTTAGTAGTAGCCATGAATTGTGATCCTATATACCGATATAAGTCCATATTGTAGGAGTAAGCGTATTTGAGTAAAAACAGGATTCACGTATGCTGATATTAATGAATGAATGAATGAATATACTTTATTGCCCATTAACACATAAGTATGAAAACAATTTTTATTAGAAACATCGATGCAAAAGGCGGCCTTATTGCTAAGGTAGCAATCTCTACCAGGCTACCCTTGACTAAAAGAAGCTATACCGATTCAGTAAAGAGACAGCGGGCAAGTGTATTAAAGAAAGATGAATTTGAAAATTCTTAAAAGTAAATACATATACTAATATAATAAAATATATATATAACAAATCAATACAAAACAGAATACAATTTCAGGAAGATGAATCCAGCTTGAGGAAATGTTCCTTGACATATTTAACAAAGGACTCTCGTGATTGTGCGCGTCTGATATTTACCGGCAGTGAGTTCCACAGTTTGATAGCTCTGATATAAAACGACTTGGCTACAAAATCAGTTGTATGAGGAGGGATCACTAAGGAAAGGTTATGGGAAGACCTCAAATCTCGGAGAGAATTAGAAGAGTGAAAAACGAAGCGATCTTTAAGATATTGCGGTGTTTGAGGATTAAAAAGTATAGAATAAAGAAGCGATAGGATGTGACAGTCTCTTCTACGAGAGATAGGTAGCCATTGAAGTTGGGTACGATAATCAGAGATATGGTCATACTTGCGTAGACCAAAGATGAAACGGATACATAAATTCTGATATTAGTGCAGTGGCATATTCTGAAACCATTATAGTAGCCATATAAGTCCAAACAGGATTATTAAATCGCATGCCAGGATTATTTTGTTTGTTGGGGAGTTACCTTCGCTCTAGTAATAAGCGTCTTTTCATTAATGTTCAGACAATCCACCCAAACAGTTGAAAGAAATGCATATTCTTTAAACGGATAACGGATGTACGGATAAAAATTCTTTAGCGATAAGTTCTTCTTTTTCGATTTCTTTAGAGATTCTTTATTTGTTTAGCGAGTAAATGTACTCGTATCTATTTTTAACTATCAAATGCACATTCTTTGAAAATAACATTTTTGAAAAAAAAAATTTCATCGCTTATAAAAGAATAGAAATATATTGTTAACCACTATAAATGAAGTAATAGCTCATTGAAAGTTGATTCTTATTTCCACGTAATGTAATAAATAATCTTAAATACAATAAGCTTCAAAATTAAGCAGGAAACTTTAAAAAATCTTTTTTCAGCAATAATAATTCAAATTACCACCAAATTATAAAGTCCTTATTACTTTACAATTCACTTTGTCTTTATTCTTTTAATAATATAAAGAAGTAAAATGCCTTTTTACAAATAATTAAAAACCTTTAAATGACACACAACATTTCTCAGAATATAAAATTATAGGTTGATATTTTTGAATAAATTTTAATTCTTTCTAAACAAATTCAGTTTTTTTTATTTTCTGTACGATAAAAGTAAGACGGCAAGATAGGTAAATTTTCATACGTTTGTAAATAAATTGTTGCAGCAATTGATGAGAAAGGTCCAGTTACTTTATTAAAACCAGAATATGTCAACGAGAACGCAGTCATTGTTCCTAGCTGGCACCGTCAGTCCGCGAGCATGATTGATTGCGGTTAGGGATGGGGACATACAGCAAGTGCGCCACTTACCACCACTATATAATACAACAATCCAATTATCTCTAATGGACGAACTCCCAGAGAGCCCCGGGGCGGAACGCCAGCGAATTTGGAAAATTGTTAAACAATTTGTCGTAACCTCTTTATTAAAAGCGATGTTGTGTCTAAATAGGTGAATATCGACATTGGAGCACAAATAAGACGATACAGAATACCTACAAGGTTTATTTTTAATCTTTCTATTTGCCTCAATGACTTATTAATTTTTTTATATTTTCTAGACATTATTACATCGTCAATATGGTAAAATACGTGGGTATTTTCTATTATGATTTTAACATTTCCAGTGTAAAAATAATAGATAGAACGCTAATTGCTCATATACATAAGAAAAAATAAACATCAGATTTCTTAACTCAATATTACTACCATGCGATGCCCACTACTGAACACAGAACTTATCAGTCAGTCCTGCGCTACTGTGATCTTCATCAGATCGACTCGATCCATTTGGTTGGGAGCCTACCTACTCGCTAAACACTGATCAATCCCAAAACAAACCAGCAATCAAATTGAGAATTTCAGATTCTACTGGGATCCGATTTTTATGTAATCATTAGTAGAATTAGCCTGCTTGTCTTTGGTTGACTTTAAACGTGGAAGAGTTAAACTACAGGGCCGGCTCGTCCGTAAATGCAAACTAGACACCGCCAAGGGCTCTCGTATTTGGGGGGCAACATGGCACGGCAAACAGATTATGTTAGCTCTAACCCTAACCGTAAATAAGAGGCACCTTAATTACTTTTGTTCTTTGAACATGATTCCATGTCGGCGGTATTCATTGGTGTACATAACTACATTTTTTTAAGGTCATCGTTCCAGTGTTTTACCTAGGGCGCCAAGTTGTCTTGAACTGTTAAGTAAGCCAACGCTGTTAAGTTATATGCTGTTATTGGTCTTCGAAGCGGGCATTTTTACCTCTCTATCTTTTCAGTCCGGTTCTGTGTGTCCCCTCATAAACTTTGGAAAAAGCACTCTCCGCTTTTTCAACCTCATTCTATTTTAGGTCTCCATTCTATGAGAGATCTTTTTAAAAGTTGCTTAATTTTTGCATTATAGAGCAAATGAGCATACCATTGCGCCAGTAAGTTCCTAAAATAAATTATATAAAAACTTTAAAATTGTTTATTTAACACTGTAAAATATAATCTTTGTCGTATGAAAATTTAATTACGAAAGGCTCTAAAAACGGTGAAATTATTCAGAAGCATAATTCATATCACTTTTGTAAAAATATCTTCAATTTGAAAATAATTTTTAACAATAAACTATGGTAACTGAATATTACAGTAAGTACAGCTGAACTATTTATATAACCCTAAGCTGTATGATATAAACTAAACTGAAGTCTCACTAATGCTGTAGTTGTATTTGTAAGCAATTTGACTCCAGCCGAAAATTGCTTACGGATTTATGTGTTCCGTAATTTATGAAAGGAAAAATTATTTTTGAATAAATAATAACATCGTTAAAATCTAAGGTTTGCTTCATAGGTTAATTATAATTAATAAAATAATAATAAATAGAGGTTGGCTGGGATGTCAGAAGTAAAACATAACAAATACAAATATAACATTGAAATAGTTTGTGGTCACTCTTGATTACAGTATAAAAAATATTAAATCAACATAAGATGAAGATATTTCCCACAACGAATTGTAATTTTATTAAGATATAATAATTATGAATGAATGAATGAATGAAAAATTCTTTATTGTACACCAATGGACAAAAACAAATATAGGGATACAATAAATGTAAATGCACAATTGGCGGCCTTATTACTAAAAAGTATTTTTTTCCAGGCAACCTTGATTATATATTAATTATTATATCTTAATAAGAACCTGTTAGCTTACTTTATATCCCGAAGTGATGTAAAAGAAGAAACATTTATAATCTAAAAAAAATCTTAAAAAAATATTGCTTTGTTAAACTGAAACTAAACCTACTGATTTTGTGTAGTCGAAAATAAGGAAACCATAATTTACAGAATGTGTG